AGAGCTTCAAGACCTAATTCTATTACACTTCCTAATTCTCGTAGACCTCTAGACCTAATTCTCCTATGTTTAATTGTACATTGCAAGCGCCATAAAGAGTTGACGATGACACGTCACTTGTTCATTATAATTATTACCCCTTTTTAAAGAACGCTAGGCGTACTTTAAGGAAAATCAGAATCAAACCAAAACTCATTCACTTCAATATTGCGAAAAGTATATAAAAAGTTAAAGTAATATACTGACTAATTAACGTAAAATATAGAAAAAAGTCCAAGCATACACTTATAGACCTTATAGTCCAACCCGTTTTTTTATTAAAGTACCATCCAATCTATTTCTACAATCAGTTCAGAACACCATAAATAGTGCATATATATATGACATTCGTCGATTGTTCTGTAACTACTTTCAACTAGAAAACAAACTCACAACCTAAAGAAAAGTACAAAGGAAAAGACCATTATGACGACTATAAAAAACAATGGAAGAAAGTAAGAGCTAAAAAGTTTTTATTAATGATAATAATTTTCGTGTTGGTTTTCATGAATTTGAAACGTAGTGTATTCAAACGCTCAAAATGAAATGTTTGATGTAAAAAAACAATCCTGATTCCAGGGGAAATATGACAATCCTCTCGCAGTGTTAATCTAACATGAAAAAGGTCTTGGAGAACTGAGAACACCAAAGATGTGTTACCCTAAATCGCATTCGCACACCATTTGCGTGTAGCTATATAGGCTTGAGACGAGCATCTCTACACCATGCTCGCGCTCCTATAACATTTTCTTGGTGTGAAAATAAAAAATAACTTATTTACAAAAAGTTTAGCGGTGTACCTGTCCCACATCTTAGTTTCAGTCTTAGCGGCAACAGTTTGCTCCTAAAAGACACGAATATGCGTAGGGCACTGCGCCATAGTCTGCGCAGGTTGGACTATTTTGATAGAAAGGTATACAAAATCCACCATGTATTTCGCAATCAGTTATTTCTATAAGAAATTGATGTTGTAAAAGTTATGCCTGCAGTAGAAGATATACATGCAATGATTTGTACAACAAAATATTTCCATTATTCTGAAAATTTTGCATGACGAATACTTATGATCTGCCTTTATCATTAAGGCTCTTACGTCCTGACATCACATTTCCCCGCGAAAATTCAAAGACCACGAGAAACAAACAGATCATCAATAAACCTTTCATCACCATCTAAAAGATAAACACCACAATTACTTTCGGCGCGCTTTTATAGACGGAAGGCCCCTTCCTTGATGAGATCCTTTATTCCGCGGTGTATAAGACTAGAAGAATTTTCAGAAATTGTTTAATCCTGTTTATGTATATATGGATCACATTACTTACCAACTTTAAAAAAAAAGGGGGGAATATAATTACGTCCATGCCGAATACGTCATGGGAAAAAGTCTTATAGGAATGCATTCACTCACTGAACGCCCACCCGCCCACGTTTCGACATGCAAAACAACTTCAAGCAACCTCTTATCGTAATTTATCGACCACCTGACTATTATATATACTCTATTTGAAATATCAAAACGGTATAGCACATTACATAACCTAACTTGTAAATTTAAAACAAGAAGGTGGAAATTTATTAATGTATTTCTAGTTAAGAAAAATTCACTATTATATAGCTTATATATAACCGTGTAATCCTATCGCAAAGTCTCATCTCTTTCCTTCACGTTAATAATCGCTTTGAAAGGATATTATATAACATAGTTAGATGCATGCATGCATTGGAGTGCCAAGATTAATGGAAATATCAAACAATAGATAGAAGCTTTACTCACATTTCGTTGCAGTTTCTTTCCGTCTTCAGTAAAAGTCTCCGTGCTGCCCGTGAAGTGAAATGAGCAGAAGCCCGGTTTCCTCAGCTATATGTAAAATCGTTGCGAGGTTAAAAATATCATTTCAAATTTGCCTAGCAGTCAATGAATATATGTCATCTTTGCATTGGGCTAAAGCTCAAGAACAGTCTGTCTATTGTTAGCATGTTTAACTAAATAGGAAAAAATCAATATAATGTATAAATCGAGCGCAATGACTAACTATAACAGAAAAAATATTAATTCATTCTTTAATAAAAGATTATTGCATGAATTTGCGAACTAAAACACAGATTATCTTATCGATGAAATGAAAAAAGGCCTACTGTTGCTTAAATGAACCCCCTGCAACCACGATCGCATGCAGCTTCTGCTTTTCCGGCGTATATTCGACCACAAAACGACAGAAGCGTATTCTTTAACTTGTCGATCAAAACATCGGAAATCAACCTTGCATGGGTACTGTTGTAACTGAAAATACGAATGACAATATATTTGCAGAGATGCATTTTCAATTCCAGCTTATTAATATACTTGCAGGATTGATACAATTATGACCTATGAAATTGCCATATTCGCCATAGTAGCGTGCATGGCATCGGTGGCAAACCCAACCATTGAAAATCTCCTACTTTACATGTTAATATTCATTGACTGTGAGAACAATGAATTTCTAATGGAATAAATAGTTGTAATGCCCTTAAATCTGTCCATATAGCGATTTTAGATTTGTAAAGCTGGCTACGCGACTGATTCGAGAAAAATTCTACCTAAGTTGTACAACAATCACTCTTCACAAAAATACCACCAGTTTTTGTTTCCTATCTTATGCACAGCACATATTAAAAACCTTGGAAACAAAGTTTAACAACAAAACAGAAACATAATATCACTCATTATTTAGAACAAATTAATGCTGGTTTCCTAACACTATAGTAGCAGTTTTCATGTCACGTCCGCGTCGTAGATTTTGGTGCATCTTAAACTCGCTAATTTAGCTCTCGTGTGCGGTGGGCTACAAAAGCTTCAAACTTTCTATAAAAAATTTTACCAAATTGAGATACACATTTATATTAAAGTCAGGGCCGTAGTTAGAAGCGTATTTGGGGCGGGGGATGCATTTTCATATATTCGTCTTATACCCGAGAGAGAATGGGGTCAAAGAAAAAGCGTATAATTGAGGAAGGAAATACAGAGACCTCTAAGCTGGTCGATGTAATTTTTACGCATGGTGCATGAAAGTGTACCAAAATTTAAATCTTCAGAGGGTGTACAGGGTTAAAACGTCGTTGTGTTTGGATAACTTTCCAAACTGTGGACTGTTTTGTGTGTGTACATATAGTTTCGATTTTATTGAATTCATGCATTAGTGACTCTGCAGGGTGCCCCAATAAAAAGCAAAACAATTGAAATGACACATAACAAAGTAATAGGGACCACGTGCAAGTGTAAATGTTTGACGTAGGTATTTTCATAGTGTGACATGGCAGTATAATTTGTTTGTCTACCAACAAATTACTTTTCTTGCCAATACGCTTTTATTCGCTTTACAAATATGCATAACCGTGCATGCAAGAATTGTTTTAGCGCGCTGAGATTTTCATTTGCGACGTGAGACCTCTATTTGTGCCGTGTAGATAACAATATTTAAATTTACAACTAAAGCACCATGACCTTCGGAATGTCCTTAACTCTATAGAAAATGTAGGCCTATTTAGCATTTTATATTATAATAAAGTTGTGTTAATCCCCACAAGCAAAATTTCGCGAACAAGTCATTCGAATTTTAACACTAGGTGATTTAAACAGTTTTTGGGTTTTTTAGGACACCTTGTATAATATACAGTTGCTATAATGAATTTAATAGAGTCACTAATAGATTCAATAAACTTACTAATTGATTCGCTGTCCTTGTTTTTATATTGTTTTTTTAACCCCGCGCATTTTCCCCATGCTTCGAAGCCCTCGAAATTTGATGAATTTCAGACACTATAAGATATAGAGCATGGAAATACTAAACGCTGATTGGCCGAGTGAAGGACTACCTATTCTCTTATGATAAAATAAAAAAATTTAGTTGAGCACAACTAAACATTGCGTTCCTTTTACCAATGTTCGCTACTGGCGATTGATTGGAACAACTCGCCGTTCGTATACCCAATACGGACTCGTGCAGTCGCGCTACTCGTTATACTCGCGAGTGTCACGCACAAGTATTCCGTCGAGTTTTTTACCGTATGTATGCTTATTTAAATTGATTTATATATAAAAACAATTTGTCTAAACAATCGATCTTTGGTAATGAGAATTTATAACCGATGCGACAGAGCTTCAAGACCTAATTCTATTACACTTCCTAATTCTCGTAGACCTCTAGACCTAATTCTCCTATGTTTAATTGTACATTGCAAGCGCCATAAAGAGTTGACGATGACACGTCACTTGTTCATTATAATTATTACCCCTTTTTAAAGAACGCTAGGCGTACTTTAAGGAAAATCAGAATCAAACCAAAACTCATTCACTTCAATATTGCGAAAAGTATATAAAAAGTTAAAGTAATATACTGACTAATTAACGTAAAATATAGAAAAAAAGTCCAAGCATACACTTATAGACCTTATAGTCCAACCCGTTATTTTTATTAAAGTACCATCCAATCTATTTCTACAATCAGTTCAGAACACCATAAATAGTGCATATATATATGACATTCGTCGATTGTTCTGTAACTACTTTCAACTAGAAAACAAACTCACAACCTAAAGAAAAGTACAAAGGAAAAGACCATTATGACGACTATAAAAAACAATGGAAGAAAGTAAGAGCTAAAAAGTTTTTATTAATGATAATAATTTTCGTGTTGGTTTTCATGAATTTGAAACGTAGTGTATTCAAACGCTCAAAATGAAATGTTTGATGTAAAAAAACAATCCTGATTCCAGGGGAAATATGACAATCCTCTCGCAGTGTTAATCTAACATGAAAAAGGTCTTGGAGAACTGAGAACACCAAAGATGTGTTACCCTAAATCGCATTCGCACACCATTTGCGTGTAGCTATATAGGCTTGAGACGAGCATCTCTACACCATGCTCGCGCTCCTATAACATTTTCTTGGTGTGAAAATAAAAATAACTTATTTACAAAAAGTTTAGCGGTGTACCTGTCCCACATCTTAGTTTCAGTCTTAGCGGCAACAGTTTGCTCCTAAAAGACACGAATATGCGTAGGGCACTGCGCCATAGTCTGCGCAGGTTGGACTATTTTGATAGAAAGGTATACAAAATCCACCATGTATTTCGCAATCAGTTATTTCTATAAGAAATTGATGTTGTAAAAGTTATGCCTGCAGTAGAAGATATACATGCAATGATTTGTACAACAAAATATTTCCATTATTCTGAAAATTTTGCATGACGAATACTTATGATATCTGCCTTTATCATTAAGGCTCTTACGTCCTGACATCACATTTCCCCGCGAAAATTCAAAGACCACGAGAAACAAACAGATCATCAATAAACCTTTCATCACCATCTAAAAGATAAACACCACAATTACTTTCGGCGCGCTTTTTATAGACGGAAGGCCCCTTCCTTGATGAGATCCTTTATTCCGCGGTGTATAAGACTAGAAGAATTTTCAGAAATTGTTTAATCCTGTTTATGTATATATGGATCACATTACTTACCAACTTTAAAAAAAAAGGGGGGAATATAATTACGTCCATGCCGAATACGTCATGGGAAAAAGTCTTATAGGAATGCATTCACTCACTGAACGCCCACCCGCCCACGTTTCGACATGCAAAACAACTTCAAGCAACCTCTTATCGTAATTTATCGACCACCTGACTATTATATATACTCTATTTGAAATATCAAAACGGTATAGCACATTACATAACCTAACTTGTAAATTTAAAACAAGAAAGGTGGAAATTTATTAATGTATTTCTAGTTAAGAAAAATTCACTATTATATAGCTTATATATAACCGTGTAATCCTATCGCAAAGTCTCATCTCTTTCCTTCACGTTAATAATCGCTTTGAAAGGATATTATATAACATAGTTAGATGCATGCATGCATTGGAGTGCCAAGATTAATGGAAATATCAAACAATAGATAGAAGCTTTACTCACATTTCGTTGCAGTTTCTTTCCGTCTTCAGTAAAAGTCTCCGTGCTGCCCGTGAAGTGAAATGAGCAGAAGCCCGGTTTCCTCAGCTATATGTAAAATCGTTGCGAGGTTAAAAATATCATTTCAAATTTGCCTAGCAGTCAATGAATATATGTCATCTTTGCATTGGGCTAAAGCTCAAGAACAGTCTGTCTATTGTTAGCATGTTTAACTAAATAGGAAAAAATCAATATAATGTATAAATCGAGCGCAATGACTAACTATAACAGAAAAAAATTTAATTCATTCTTTAATAAAAGATTATTGCATGAATTTGCGGCCTAAAACACAGATTATCTTATCGATGAAATAAAAAAAAGGCCTACTGTTGCTTAAATGAACCCCCTGCAACCACGATCGCATGCAGCTTCTGCTTTTCCGGCGTATATTCGACCACAAAACGACAGAAGCGTATTCTTTAACTTGCCGATCAAAACATCGGAAATCAACCTTGCATGGGTACTGTTGTAACTAAAAATACGAATGACAATATATTTCCAGAGATGCATTTTCAATTCCAGCTTATTAATATAGCTGCGGTGTTGATACAATTATGACCTATATGTAATTGCCATATTCGCCATAGTAGCGTGCAAGGCATCCGTGGCAAACCCGACCATTGAAAATCTCCTACTTTACATGTTAATATTCATTGACTGTGAGAACAATGAATTTCTAATGGAATAAATAGTTGTAATGCCCGTAAATCAGTCCATATAGCGATTCTAGATTTGTCAAGCTGGCTACGCGACTGATTCGAGAAAAATTCTACCTAAGTTGTACAACAATCACTCTTTACAAAAATACCACCAAATCCTTCATTTACAATGCTAAAAGTCATTTTAGCTGAACTATGGTGCAAACCCGAACAATATTAATATTCTTGCATATTTAAGCGGTTGCGTTTTTTTTTGGGACACCCTGTATAGCCATGCATATTCAGTGGTCTTGCGTGAGAGGAGTTATTAAGCCCACCGCACACGAGAGCTATTAGCGAGTTTAAGATACACAAAATCTACGACGCGGACGTGACATGAAAACTGCTACTATATAGTGTTAGGAAACCAGCATTAATTTGTTTTAAATAATCAGTGATATTATGTTTCTGTTTTGTTGTTAAACTTAATTTCCAAGGTTTTTAATATGTGCTGTGCATAGGATATGAAACAAAAACTGGTGGTATTTTCAATTCCCAGAGGTGCTTATCTATTGCGCTTTAGAGCTGTATTAATGTTCTGCATATTTAAGTGGTTCCAAAAAAACCACAGGGTGTCCCAAAAAAATTGAAAACTATTGAAATCAGTCATTGATAAAATTTGAATGCCGTGTTCACGAATTTTAGCCCTTGGGGATTTAATGCAACTTATAAACTGCTAAATGCTTTGTGTTGCTAGAGAAAGGGGACATGTCGCAGGTCATGGTGCTTGATATACACATTTAAATATTGTTATCCATATTTGTAAATTGTAAATATCATTTTTGCATACAGGAAATTTTACTGCATCATATGCATGCATAAAAATGCGTATGGTAAACATTTATACACCTGTGGGTCCCAACAGAGTTCTTAGGCATTCAAACTCTTACAATTGTATTGTTATGGGTGATTTCAAAAGTTTTCGGGTTTTTTGGGACACCCTGTATGTACATACAAAAGATTTGAATTTTCTATTAAAAATTTTACCAAATAGAGATACACATTTATAGTAAAATCAGGGCCGTAGCTAGAAGCTAATTGAGGGGGATGCATGTTCATATATTTGTGTTATACCCGACTGATTTCTTTTTTATGCTATTGCTCATACATATATAAACATGAATATATGAATATCACTCGTATATACTGGGTTGTCTCAAAAAAAAGGCTTAAATGTGCAATGGTATTAATATTGTTCGGGTTTGCACCATAGTTTACTATGCTTTTAGCATTTTTAATGAAGGATTAAAAGCCATTTTCAATTCCCAGAGGTGTTTATCTATTGCGCTTTAGAGCTGTATTAATAATGTTCTTGCATATTTAAGTGGTTGCGTTTTTTTTGAGACAACCTGTATAACCGTATTCAAATATTGTTGGAAAATAGTTTCTAAGGTGCATCTGGGGAATGAGATTGACGAAAGAGGCAAACAGGCCAAGTGCATTGGAAGTCTGGAACCCACTTTCCTTTTCGTGCAAGATGGCGGACTCTAGTTCATCAAAGTTGGCCGAACACGGCAAACAGGTATAAATTATTGCCCTTTTTTACCTCACTTATCGACGCAAATCAAGTGAGAATATTAGAAGTTGGCGATCGTTACTATAATCGTCGTATAACAACAATTTTTGCTTGTTTCTAGGCTTATTCGGACAAAATTTCATTCAAATCGAATATGCTTTTCCCCATGCCCCTGGAAGAAAACGAAAATTTAGACTCATTGAATGATGGAAAACATTTGGCTCAGGATCATTCGGTTTGTTTATCATGATATTTTATATTTTATAATAAAATTTCTTGTGGAGATAAACGGCCATTAGATAGTTTTTGTACGGACTGTACAGTTATACTGTACCAAAGTAACCAAACTATATGCACTTTTAACATATACCTTTCCCAAATGCTCATGCTATAGAGGCTTTATGGCCCACCTCACCAAAACATAGTAGCAACATTGTTTCACCTGACCACTCACCTTACCACATGACTGATTTGGTGAGAACATTTTGTAAACTGTATTTACAGAACTCAGTAGAGAATACATTACCTGGTACTCCAGACTTGTACTTATTAGTAACTGCACTGTATCATTTACAAATTGATTGTGCAGTGTGTTGATGGCATTGCAATTTTGCCAAACTTTAACTTTTCAGATCTTTTGGAACTTAATAAGAGATCATGCATAATCCTAAAATTTGGTTAAAACTCATACCAAGGGCCTCTAAGATTACTTCTTAATATCTGTCAAGTTAGCAATAGCCAGAGTTATTTTTTCTCTATTCATGATTTATATTTTTAAAGAAAAGGCTCATGAACAATAGACAGTATAAACATTTGACTTCTCAAGCTTTCTCCAACTTACAATTCCTGGGGATCACCTACAAACAATGAAAAAATTTCCATTGACATTGAAGAAAAGCTTGCAGATCACACAAAGTTGTAAAGAGGTGTTTGAAAGGGTTTCATATATTCGTTCTTTTTATTTTCTATAAGGAAGCAATAGTTTCTGCCCTTCCGAAAAGAATATCGAAGCCAATACGTGTGGAAGATGTAGAAAAGATGGGTTTTGGTCACCAGGTTAATCAGTTACCACCTCATCTCCAGCCGTTTGCGAATTGTGTACCCAAGACCTCCTCCAGGATTCCCTCCTAATATGAACCCTCGGGTAAAAACGCATGTTTCTTATTATGTTTTCATTTGCATAAAATCTGTACAACTTGCTTCGATTGCAGTTTCCTGTGAAGTGTAGGGTGCAACTGCAGTTATTTATTCATTTCAAATTTGTGTTGTTTTTTATTGCTTAGTATTCCCAGTTGGATACATAAGAATGCCATTCAAGTATTTTTCAATATTTTACATTTGCAGAACCGAAGAGTTCTGGTGCAGAATATATAAATTGATGTATAAATGGTGCAGAATATATGTAGAATTAATATTTTTGTGACTACAACTATCTATTCTCTTTCAGAGTCCAATTCACCCACCTGGTCCCTATGGCCCCCCTCCTATTCCTGCTGTTCCTCAAAATGTTGCTCAGGCACAATCTCTGGCGTTATACCCAACTATGATGAATCATAGGATGCCCTTTCCCCCGCACACCGCCTTCTCAACCACCACACTTCCTCCGACCTGTTTATCACTCCGACCCAGGTATGTTCTTGTTTATTTTCGGTTCATTTAATCATCTCTTCTTTTTATAGAGTTTTAAAATTGTTCAATGTTATTAGGATGTGAAAATTATGGAACCTTCTGTAAATCGAAATATTGAGAATCTGAACAACTGAGAGGCCTAGGGAATTCATATTAACTAGATTTTAGGGAAAAGAGAAGGGTCTTAAAGTGGGCGATGTCCATTCGCAATAAAAGGAATCGCTTTGTTCATATTTTGAACTGCTTTTGGATTGACCCTAGGATTATTTTAACCGCGACTTTTCTTAAAATATTTTAACGGTGACTTTCTCATTCCCTATGCCATCCCACATGACTTCACAAATAGAGTTGTGGCAAGATATAGGGCCTAAGTTTGTTTTGAGTTCCGATAGTAGTTACTAGTTATTACGGTTAATACTATCGACCTAAACACAAAATATTCTGTTGCAGGGTTGTCTTCCACTGCAGGGTTACACGTAATGTAATATTATGTTCTTGCTTAGACCTTTGAGAGACGTCGTTTGACTAAAGAAACATCTCAAAGTACAACTGGAGTGGAAATGGAAACAAACCATACTAATAAGGATATAAAGATGACTTCACCTCACGTCACTAACGGCGATCACAACTTCAAACCAAGTACGTATACTGCTTGTCAAACAGCTCCGACATGATATAAGTTAGCACACCAAACACCAACAAAATTTGGTGTTTTTTTATAGTTCTGTGGCTCGTACGTGAATTGTTAACCATACCTTTCTTTCATAGCCACGTTTGAAGGATCTCTCGGTCAAGTTTCCGTCGGCTCTGTATTTCATCCACGCGAGGTCGTTCAAGTTGATGATTCTGGAAAGCCTAAAGGACCTGTAAGTATCTCTGTTATAACCTTTCACAGATTGAAATCGATTGTACACCTCGAATTCCACAGCATGTTAGGGCTTCATTATACAGACAATCAATAGTTACTTTTACATAATAACCTGAAAAGCTTTTGCACCAAATTTTTATTGTATCTGCAGCCTATTAAGATTATTCAAATGTTACCCTTAATATAATCATGTAAATAACATGATGAATAGAGATTAGTTAAATTCTGTGATGTGCTGACAATAGACCTGAAATGGTTAAGTTTTATTGGCTATTCCATGGTCACAATATCTGAAATGGGTTAATTTTCATGCAAGCTGAAAAGGTCTATTTATGGAACTATCCCCGAAATAGCTTATTTACATACCAAGTCTTATTCGTAAGTATGCGTGTTCACATTAGTTAAATATCGCAGCAGATTTCGCTTATCAGTTTGGAACGGATTTCCCTCATAAGGTCATCTAAATATACTTACTTTAATTGTATCTATATTAAACAACAATTCTCGTGTATAGGTTGGCTCTTTAAAAGAAACCAAAAAGAAATACCAATTGCTCTTAACAATTGAAAAGGTAAAGTATCTTGAATTTCTTGTAATATACATTTTGAGCACGCTCCTTTTTTTTCTATACTTATTGAACCCTAAATAGATGAGTAAGCTGAAACGATAACTTTGCTTTATGACACTACTTGTACTGAACCTGTACTGAACCTGAACTGCAATATAGAGGTGTTTTGCCCGCGGTTCCTACTTGTCTCAAAAACTTATTGTTGTGATTAGCTTCATCCAATCATACTCTATTGTCTCAGAGTTGCAAAAAGCTGCGGTTACACGGGTACCACATCACATGAATGTACCAAAAAAAACAAATATTACGTCATCATGCTGGTTGGCACTTGACTCAGTGACGTGACTTCATTTTTAGGAATGTTTTCAAAACTTGAAATCCTGCTCGGGGGGAAGATTGAACTCTTTTTGTATCTCTGCACTGTCTGTAGATTATAGCGTTCCAAGGGCCGGTTGTATCAAAGCCGGATAGCGCTATCCACCTGATAGTGATTTTTTGAAACTAAAACTGTCCGTTGTTCATTATAACCTGGATTAAATCTTATATATTAGTTATTAACTGACGTTTCTTTTATTAAATAAAGTTATGTGATTTATATCCGTGGAGTAAAGCTTTTCAATCCTTTTTATGGCAGGTATGAAAAATTGACGATCCGGTGGATAGCGGCGTCCGGCCTTGATACAACCGGCCCCAGTCTTGCAGAGGTCACTGTATAGTTACGTGTTCACCCACAGTTAACGGTGTTTCATTTTCGCTCTAGGGCTTTGATCAAATTCTACCAATAGAGGACTTAGAACGTACAGTGTGTATAGTTCTTCAAGTACCACAAGACGTGAGGTAAGACTTGGCCAAAATTTTAACTCGGATTGGAGTAAATACCAAAGCATAGAGAACATAATGATTGCTACATGCAAGTACAATTTTTACAGTTTTTACAAAATATTATTGTAAGTTTTCATCATATTTAAATCTGCTTGTTTAGACCACAGTTGCGTGAGAGACGTGAAAGATTGTGCCAACGTTGCTTTGACTTGGTGAATTTAACGCCATCAAAAGACTCTAATAAGAAGTAAGTCCATTTTTATTGCCGCAAGTTTTTGTTAGCAAACCGTGGTGAACTTTGCATAGCTGGAACCTAGTAGGAAACACTCGGCTAAATCGTTGATATGGTGACCTAACGACAGTGATTACTGGTTCCTTCCCCCTAAAGTGCTTAGTTCGTTGTAATTCCTGCATCTACCTAGTTAAAACAGTTTTTATACCTCTCGGATAAAGGATATCATTATTGGGATGATGAAGATGATAATAATGTAAACAGTCGTAGCGGAGTCCTTTTATACTGTACAGGGTGAGTAAAAAAAAAGTACCCCCTATTGAAATGAAGCCTTTGTTGATTTGAATGCATGATCAACGCAGTAGTGTGTAAATAGCATAGTTATTAGGTTGAGGCATTCAAATAAAGCGTCTTGCTTTCAATTGGGTTTATCATAATATTAAGGCAATCAGATTCTAACAAAGGCTTGATTTCAATAGAGGGGACTTTTTTCTGACTCACCCTGTAGTGTAAACATTAATTATATCAAACAATGAAATAAATTTGGCTATTCACATTGTTTTGACCTGCATGCTGTAGTTTCCTCCATACAATTGCTAAAACGGATGTAAACAATTTTTGTTAATGAGCTCGTCCAAGTAAAATATAAGACATGAAAAGCACAACTGATTTCAAACGCTTTTTACCGACCACATCAAGTAGCTGGTTTACACCTGAAAATGTTTTCTATCTCTCTATTGAAGACCCTGTTAATTCTTGGCCTTAGTAAAGCATCTTGGCCTGATGGTGGGTATTGTCTTCCAATGCCTTCAAACCGAGCGTGTCCATCAGGTTGGTCGAAATGGCTACAGAAAACACGACGTTGAAGATGACGACAAAAATGCGTATTGCGATGCAAGACGCTATGGCTGGGTTCCGTACATTTCGAATTATTGCAATAATCTCAGATGGGGATTTATCTGCAAAACTCGGCCAAACTTCCCTTCTACCAGAAAGACATGGCCCGAAGGAGCGTATTGCATTTTCAGATATGGTGGCCGTTGTCCTAGAGGATTTGCTATATATAACATCTCTTACATGCAACCATTGATATACAGGGTGTATAAAAAAATTCGAATCTAAATTTTGCGTGTAATAATGCAAAATATGTTTGACAAATTTGGTTGATTTTTCCACCATTGTGAAGTTCATTTATTTCTCTTTCAAATGACACGTTGCACGTGTCATTTAGTTGAAAAGTAAAGGAGTACTGGTTCGACAAAAAAAGTTCATAAAAATCACAATCTCCCGCCGATGGAAATTGGAGGTTTGTTTTATTGAAAATTAGTCCTAAAGGGCTTTAAAATCTAATTATTACTGAAAACTAAAATACAAATTTTCGCAAAAATTCTGCTTATTCATGTTCAACGACAGCTTTGAAGAACACAATGCCTCAATTAAGCACGGAACAACGAACATTTATTGATTAAATTTGCATTTTCTTTTGTCTGGAGGTCTCACTTCGAATTCCCATCGGCGGAAAAATTTGATTTCGAGCAACAATTTTTAAAAGACGATAACTCGGGCAGTTTTGGTCGTGTCGATATAAGAACGCTATAACCGCAAACTAAATAAGCTAATCTCTGTTGCCATATAAAAATGCTTCTACACAGTTAACAGTTTTTCTACCTCTCGAATAAAGGATATCATTACTGGGATAATGAAGATGATCAGAATTTAAACAGTCGTAGTGGGGTCCTTCCAGATGAATGGTATGGTCGTGACACTAAAATTTACTTCTGCTGTCGTAATGATGCCGTAAAGCAATCTTTTAATCGAATCAACCGTCTTTATGGTCTTCCCAAATGTTCCGAAATGATATTAATGCGATACAAAGGAAAGTGTCATCCTCCTCAATCTGGTTATCTTGGACCTCATACTGGATACTTGCAGTGGGACACTGAAGACAAAAGAAACAGAGACGAACATTTTGGCGTGTTTCCTGACACCAGTAAGAGTGGTGGCAGAACCTTCGGATATGGAATAGTTATCCAATTTTGTTCTTACACATCGTACTATCATTGCTGAGTGATTTGCAGTTCAGCTAACTTTTGATTCTCTACTATTTGATTACAATAGCTTAGTTTATACGAAACACGAATATACTCTTGCTGCAAAGAATTTTTCTGATTGTACATGTATTGCAAAGCTGATTAAAAAATATACCGGACATAAAATGTTCTCAAGTTTGCTTGGTTTGTTACTTTTTATTGTGTTTTTTTTATTTAGGTTAGATCAGGCCACAACAATAATAAAAGGCAAAATAATCCACAAAAGGGATTCAAAAAATCTTAGTTTAGCGACAATTTCAAACTGCAAAGCATTGATTACCAACCCCTGTGAATTTGTTAGCCAAATCTTCTGGAGATTTGTCCGTTTTGCATGAGTGTATGTTTTTGTGAAATGAGCGTTTCTAATTGCAAAATTGGTAGTCCTGAAACCTAAAAATGGTCAGTTAAAGGTTTTTAAGAGAAATTCTTTTAGAATTTAAAAATTCTTAATTTAAAACGTGGAACTGACCCACTGAGAATGCTCATGCCCAATATTGTAGATACCACTGCATGCATGTTTATTGTGGTTTAGCTCCAATCGTTCACTGCTGGAATCGGTTTGCCGATTCAAAATACTTCTTACTTTGCCTCCTCTTAAACATTCGTGGAAACATCCTACAAATTTGGTGGGATAATAATTTTTATCAAAGATGGTGTTTATTGACGACCACCTAGGCTTCTACTGATACTACTTTGACAGGATAGCTAGTATAGTGATAAAAATTGTATGTAAAGAATACGCACAGTCATATTCGGCTTGTACTGACCGAGAGATGGCGGATAATAGTTTCAATCTTGAAGTTTAGAACAATTTTCGTTTATTCTTTGTGCCCTTGCCTCAGGTGTTTACCGCCGTTTCTGTCGGTCTTTATTCGTTGTTTCTGTTTGCGCTTGAGTTTCCTCCAACGATATAATTATACGATACTTTGATACTTTCCAACTTCTATGTGCCCACATAACAAACTCGTAGAGATTTTATATTTGCATTGGATATAGTAGCTTGGTATTAGACCAAAAAGGAACTAAATAGGGCGTAGAAGTTGAACGTCAATAAGTTTTCGTACAAAGACTGACATTCAGTGGAAACATTATTTATTTTGATGTCCAAAAAACGTTTTACACTTTACCAGTCGGTATGGAAACAGTTTAAGTGCAGTAGCTAAAGCGTTTGCGAAAGTCGAAGTGTACTTAAAAATAATGCCAACTCAAGGAATAAACTATAAGCTTTTTAAAATGCTTTCATTCAAGCAAGTGCTAATCGGAATCTAACGGTAACGCTATATAAGCAATATTTTTATTCTGGTTGATTATTGCTTGGTGCATGTGCAACCAAAGTGTTCTGAAAACTCCTTTTTAGTATAGATTAACAAAAAAAGGTTTTATTCTACGTCAACTGTTTTTTACAAGACAAAATAGTTGTAACTCGATCGAAAAGGTAGACAATGTATTTATTGCTTTAGATTAGGGAGTATACTCGACACTATTGACCGAATTCAAAACCTTCGGTGACCTAAATGGGTGCGTGAAAGATTTTCAAGTTTGAAGGACACTTGAAAATTATTGTCAAGCACAAAGGCAATATAACATCATCCGCTTTGCTCTATATTCGTTCACAAGAGTAGCACAAAGTTCATTGTGGTCCAAACCCTGCGACCCACGTGTTGTCGAACTGACGGGCATGCATGCATGCGAGCTTCATATTAAGTTCAGATATAAGCTGTCATTGCAATAGTGGTCTCAAATCTTCGTTATGAATTTGTGATTTTTCTGTAGACATTATTTCTCCTATTTTAAATAGTTTGACATTTTATACTATCTCATCTTTGACGCCACTTCACTCAACCTAACTTTAAAAACTGAAATAATGAGTTTGCAAAACAATGTTATTCGGAGTTTGTTTTGCTTAATCATTGTTTGAATTCAATATTAAAGTACGTATGTCCGTAATGATGTAGACGATGTGGGTTTGCTCACTAAAATGTGAAAGATATCGATGTTCAATTTTTTTGCAATGTGCAAAGTACGTATGTCCGTAATGATGTAGACGATGTGGGTTTGTTCACTAAAATGTGAGATATCGATGTTCAATTTTTTTGCAATGTGCAAAGTGTAAGGTATTAAACTAATATATAACTGCGTAATTAAGACTGCATTTGCGTTCTCTTACTTGATTTATGCTCGAAATGAGAATGTTGTATTAAACACTTGATTACTTGAATCATGAAGTATTGTAATAAACTTCATGATTCGTGTAGCTGGTATTAGGTAATAGGGGTAGAAATGTTTAATCCGAATCTTTTATTCCCAATTAGTAATTTTAACACAATGATAATGGCTCTCTGGTAGTGTTTGATTGATGCATGATGTTGGTTATAATTTGTAGAGTGAGTGTTATGAACTTACTGTTAAGTACTATTCCTGTCAGTAACTTGTGAAAAATAGGTTTTAAATAAGTTCCAATATATACCCAGGGAGTAGCGTGGCAGCGTCTTCAAACAACTTCACCGCATTAAATTGGTCGAACAACTGTCGAGAAACATTTTTTGTCAGTACTTTTTCTATTTTAGGTTGTTGTTAACGTTATGCAGCATTTGATGCAAAGTTTCAAATAAACGTTAAAGGAGTAAGAATTTGGACAGCAAAGTGAAGTGATGCTTCAAAAAACAAAAATCATATGACGATGTCACGTGTGTGTCTTTATACCACAAATATTACATAATACAATGAAACAAGAGAGGGCTAGACTTCCATAAGCAATATACTTCGGAAAAAGGTGTGGGGTTTGAGAGGTTCTAGATGGAACAAAAATTAATCATCCATATATTTTACTTCCTTTTGGGTATATTCATGATGCAATGCTTTCTCTAGCCTATTTTTGATTATCCCGATTAGGTTAGCTTAGGAATAAAGAACTGTTTTAAGAGATTTGTAAAATTTGTTATTAATTTTACTCTTATGTCTATAGAGAAAGTGTATTTTGAATCAGAAAAAAAGGGGTGCTTCTGTTGACATCTTGAGATTTACGCAGGGGTGATCGTAATGAGGTCATAAACCATGAAACTCAACGTTTCGTCAAATTTAAAAGGGTTTTCTAATCATCCTGAGGAACATGTTAACAAAATCTAACTTCGAGGTTTTGGGCAATGGTCTTCTCGAAGTTACCAAAAAAGATCGATTTGTATTCAAAATAAAGCACGTCGTGTTAAAAAACCAACAGCGGCAGGTTGCACAAAAACTGGGTAGCGCTATCCATCGCAGAGTGGTTTTCAAACGCTCTAAAATTACCCGTTGTTCTCTGTGACCTTGATTAAACCTCAGAATTCTTACAACGGGTGCTCGTCTTTCCATAATCTGCAATTTCACTGTTTTTTTGACTTGTGAAACATGTAAAACGATTGAAAGTCAATAATTTGTTAACCATGCATATGGCTAGTTACGAATTCTATAATTATTATATACTTATTGAGTAAAACGTGTGATAGTTGGAGTGTACATGATAATGTTGAATGAATTGGTAATCGTCACTCCTGAGAATCTTTTCTTCCTCAAACGATCTTTGCATATTATGATGAAATTAATTTGTTTTGGAATAGTGCAGTTTTGTCTCCTCTAAAAATCATATAATAAATCAAACTGTTAATCACTCGTTGCTCTAATTAAGACCTACTCACATAGACCTAGCTGGGCTGGTTTCTCCGGCACAATAAACCTTTTTTAAACAGAACGTTTCCGGAAAAAACGCTCCTTCACATTATTTGAAAATCACTTATATTGAAATGATGTTGGATTCGTTTTATTTTAACGCCTGTCATTGCTAACGTTCACTGTAGGCCCTTCTTAAGTCACAAGGAAAATTTTTTTAAGTCACAAGGAGAATTTTTCTTTGCAACAAATTTGTTCTTTCCAAAGTGAGCTAGTCGGGTTGACGCATGTTAGCAGGCTAGTCCAGTTTGCTGGACTATAATGTACTTATTACCACTACTTTCTGCACATGGAAATCATCAGAAAAATCTACACATTTGTGTAATGTTTTCTCGTGTGCCTAAAACGGAAATTGTAATAACGTGCTTGTACGATATTGCCTGGTTTTCAATGATACGGAAATGAAAGTAATGGCTTTTGATATTGAAGAGCTGGAATATTACAAAGACCTAAGTGAATATGGCACTAAATGCTGATAAGCAGGAATTAGTGCTAAGTGCTTTATAAATTAGCATAAGCAGCGGGTATAAAACCTTCGCTTGATAACCAATTTGATCAGAAGTGAGAAAAGAAGAAAACGAGAAAAGTCAGAAGACAGTGAACAAGAATAAAGTGAAGAGATGAGGACACTATATTTGTTGCTTGCCCTCGGCCTGCTGTGTGCAGTCGTATATTCAATACCAGTCGAGGATGACGAACCTTTGGAAAAGGAGTTGAAAGAAGGTACCATCATTACCATGCACTTTACAAGCATAGTGAACTATTAGTTGTCATAAAATCTTCAGGGTTTTGTTTATTCTTGAAGATATGAACATATTTATAGCTTTAAATTTTCAATACTCGATGTCACGAAGCCATGGAAGCAGCCAATCAAAATTTATCTTGTTTACTAAAGTGTTAGACTCTCGCTATTGAACGAATATCCGACGAAAAACGCTAAAATACAGAGACAACCAAGAAGACCCAAGGACGTTCCTAAACCTCAAAAATAAGCCAGCTATATTGCTCTTGGACTTGATGTGGTTCGCAAATAATATTTGCACTTAAATGTTTGAAATCGTTTCTAGATAATGATGAAAATGCCCTGGAAGAAGACGATGAAGACGACAACGACGAAGAGTATGTTTCAGTTTAAATTCCTTGTTATACACACTAGTTCATCTTTGCTTTGGGTTTGTTGCACGACAGGGGTATCTTGTTAGTGCAAAGGGGCAGGCCAGAGGTAGAAAAGTTCGATTAATAGTCAGTTTTTCTAAATCTAAATTTTTAACTGACTCTGTGCCCGATTTTTTTAGAGACGAAGTTCAAGCAGATCCTTCGGCCTACCGAGGATATGGCAGACGCAGACGTCGCAGACGCAGGGGTGGTTACGGTGGAGGTAGACGTAGACGTAGATATGGTGGTAGACGTCGCAGACATTATGGATAAATATGCTACATGATTTCAAGTATGCATACGCTAAAGCCTAGTTTATAAAGCCCATTGTTTTTAGAACACCATGAGTGATCATATATAGGCGTAAGAATACAGCTTTGTTTGTCAGAATAAAATACAAGGAATTCTCAATCCTTGTAAAAACTATGCTTGTGATTCGTAATTGCCGAAGAATTTATGTGCGTTAATAAATTCCAGTTAGTTTGGCTTTGGATTTCAACCCACACGAAGTTAAATGTTCCATTTTCTTTTTTGTTCAGGATAAAGGACTGGACCCACTGAAATGAATGGACAACATAATTGACAACTTTAATTGCATGCATCTTTGACAACGTGTAACCTGTAGATCTAAAATCAATAAAAATAATGCATTGAAGATATTTGCGTTCGTGTTTTTCTGTGTGTGTGAGCGTCTGTATTAACCAGGGAACAGCGTTCCTAGTTTGTAGGTAGAAATGCCTGGCTTGCGAAGGTGCCTTCATTTCTGGCTTGTATATCAATTAATTTAATATGGCTTTGGCGAGGGTTTTTTCACAGAATTCACAGCCGCGTGTGACATTGCTAGCTTATAGACCGGTCTCAGGCCTAGCTTTGAAATTGAAATCTTTGTATGATAATTGGACTTTGGCAGGGCTTAGCTTTGCCGCTTTGGTCTGGAATTTCAGGCAATCTCACGCCTTAGAGTTTAGAATGACGTCAAGTCAATGACACAAAAGCCAGGACTCCGCGGTTAGGGTAGTACTATATATATATATATAAAATTATATTGCTTTATTCTTTTGCCTTGCTTTTGTACTGTACTGATTTACATTCATCTTTCTCAAAAGATCTTTTGAGGCAAGTTAATACCTCTACTGACTTCATTACCAAATAAATATGCTAAATAGCTACTAATACTAAAAGCAGTAATGAGCGGCATGGCAGCCAGGGAAGGGGGAGTGAAGGGGGGAAATACTTAAAATTATTGCGCCAAACGCCACGATCAACGGAGATATAAATATTTCTAAAAAATTCTGACGTTCAGTTTTTTTTCTTTATATCGCCACAAATTTAGTTCCTTCCAGCTTCAAGTGGTAAAGCCGTGTTACCGATTTGTTGCCTGGCAACCTCATCTTTGTTCTTTCTTTATTCGTATGCGTGATATTAAAAGAAATACATTTTCATTCTTTCCATTATAATCTTGAGGGACTTTTAGCAGAGGCCAATAATTTGAGCAAGCTAGCATGCAATTGCACTCGATCGCTCTACACTTATCATACATATACAACTTTCACGACTTCACCTGATATTCTCCACTCTCAAGTATATCTCGCCTAATTTTTGAAAGGCAAAGTCTTTTGAAATCCTGGAGTAAAAAACAATGGTCCTTCGTTTTAATGCAAGATGTATCCCAGTATTTTTAAAGCATTTTGGATTTTTGTGGACTGCAAGGCTACAAGACCCTTTCAGCAAATTCATCACACTCATTTGCAAGTTTGTTGACCTATTTTCTACAAGATCATCCTCTTTAAGATTTCATAACCTGCGTAATCCTGTATACTTTATCATAAACTACAGTATATTATATATTTTTACGGTTTACCGGATGTACTAGATTAGTACCAAATCAAATCAATCAACAAAGAATAACTCACGACCAAAAATTTTTCGTGGAAACACTCTTTTCAGTTACAGGAAACTGAATCACTTATCACTGATAGCAAAGAACATCTTACAGCTTATATGGAGGCAATTAGCAAAACTATACAGTTGAAGTAAAGGGAAAATCGTAGTGTAGTAAAATCATTGCCAAGTCTCCTTTCAACAATTTCTTACGTGTAATTAAAATTCTCTAACAATTTTTTTAACTATTCGCGCGACTCAACTTTAGCAACGAATTTATTTTGAATAAATTAATCAATGATGATCTGATCATTCAATCAAGCATAAAAAAATTGGCTACAGGAGAATTTTGCTCCTAGATCGACTAAAGTATTTAAAAATTAATTGCTATAGATCGCTCTATTTAGCTTCGCGAAGGCTACACACGCATGTCTGCATGGTATACTGTTTGGGAAAAGGGATTCCGAATGCAACAAATAACTGATCAAGAAACTTTCACAAAGTTTGGTTTGTGAAGAATTAGAAGTTCGTAACCCTTGATATTTTCACTAACAGGTTTATAATTTAACTTCCGGTTTTCGTAAGTTGTTAGTCTCTTACAACTCTCCGGAATGAGTCAACTTGAATATTATGCACTGAATATGTAGTTGTAAACAGTATCTTTGTATTAAGGTTAAAAACATTTAGTTTGTTTGTGGAATAAAACGATAGACTTGCTTTCTATTTTGAACTTAATATCCACCGTTTAAGCTAAACGGGCTTGATCCAACCGGCCCCAGCTAGGTCAGGATATTATTGAATTCACAATTATTTATTCTTTACGCGGTAAGAAAGAGCGGTTTCTCAAATGGTATACATTTTTTATTTCATACCAGCAAGAAGTGGTCAAATACTTAACTTTTTTACTTTTTAATAAAATACAAACTTGTCCAAAAGAAAACAAGACGAAGAAGATTTGAATTCATTAGGAGATTGATACATGCGTGCATGCGCCATTCAGGATCGAATGTCCACTCATTTCCCAGTGATGGAAAAATGGATGGTTATTGATTGGTAGTTTAGGTATTGAATGAAGCTTAAGAACTCGTCCTCCTTGCTATGTAGCAACTAAATCGTATTTTTTGAGACACCTTGTAGGTTACTGAAGATGGTGCGATTAAAGGTATCTCAAATTCTAAAGAAAAATGGGCAAAATTTTGTAAACTTCACATTAAATCTTGGGTGTAAAAATCGATAGCATTACAACATAAACAGCATTTCATATTGCTGGTTTTACCTTTCGCTATAACAGCTCTTTTAGCGAAGAGCCATTCTACACTTTGCTTTGGTTGTACAGCCCTCCTTCTTCCTCTTTAGACCTTAACTGACATACAGGGAAGGGTTTCCGGTTTGCAAGCCCTTATCATAAACTAGCTACGTTTTATAATCGCACGTTTGGTAGTTTTGGCAGTGATTATTAACCTAGCTTGTTAAAAATATTTGATCAGTCGAGATTTATTAGGCCAGTCTTATGAAGCCGTTTGTTTGCTATTAATTGTTATGTTTATCGTGCTTTTCTTCGGCTGTTACGTCACAAAAGCAGATTTTCAAAGCACGCTATGCCAAGAAGATATAAAATGCCAAAGCCAGCGCACGCTATTTCGTTTTTCGCTTACGAATATCTTCATCCGGCCGCTACGAATGTTATGGAGTAACATGGTTTGTATGCAAAGCAATATGTGAAGTATCATGACATGTTTATCATGCTAGAAAATCCAATGTATTAATCGATGTATGAATTGAATGAGGTTTTACTATAGTATAACTTCTTAGTATTTTGTTGACAAAAGTACTATTAGTGCTCACTGCTAAGTTTTTTGTTTAACAGCAAGTTTGGCCAAACCTACCCTACCAATCGTCAAAACGAAAACGTGAAACCTCGATTTCAATTTACCTTTTTAGACAAGCTTCGCTTAAATTAACGTATAGATGACTGGTTTTTATTTAGTCAGGCATCAACAAACGTCTACTGCATGGTCTATTCGCCTACTGCATGGCCTACACGCCTACTGCATGGCCTACTCACCTACTGCATGGTCTACTCGCCTACTGCATGGCCTACACGCCTACTGCATGGCCTACACGCCTACTGCATGGCCTACTCACCTACTGCATGGCCTACTCGCCTACTGCATGGTCTACTCGCCTACTGCATGGCCTACACGCCTACTGCATGGCCTACACGCCTACTGCATGGCCTACTCGTGGCATAAAAACGATATCGTCACTGATATCGCTTTTTGTCACTGATATCGCTTTTTTTCACTGATATCGCTTTTTGTCACTGATATCGCTTTTTGTCACTGATATCGCTTTTTGTCACTGATATAGCTTTTTGTCACTGATATCGCTTTTTGTCCCGCTGCATTGAGCAGTTCGACATTTGTTTCAGTCGATTGCTTTATAGAAGAAAAAGAAGTATGTGATAAAACTGCGCTCACTCGTGACATTTATGATATCGTCCCTCAAGCGATAAAACTGATATCACCTCGCCCCTCATGCATGTGATAACCTATACATGCACACACATATATATAGTTTATATATGTCTATGACTATGTAATTGCCTCCAAAAATGAAAAAATTACGTTGGTATAATTATATAAAGCAGTAGAACGAGCAGATCCAGATTTTGTTCTCGACTTTTCATTTCTTTATATCAATTCAGTCGAAATTTACAAAGAAGATCGCTAAAAATGTTGGGGAAATTTTTCATATAATTACTGTGAGGTGCTACGTTTTGCTTTGCAATTGCCTTTTTGACATGTTCGAATTAAGCATTATATAACATTTAGATATAGTGTTAATATTACATTTATTTCAAAAAGAAATATAGCTATAGCTTATTTTCTCCCCACTGCATGGCACTGAATTCTGGTAGAATTCGGGCATTAACTGACAGGTATATTTTTAAAAGGATTGCATGTAAACATCAATATTTCGTTATATTTTGCTTAAATAGTTATATATAGATAGTTTTCTTGCATATAAGGTTCAAATCACAAAAATGTTTGTATAAAAGCATGCATGGGCCATGTTCACCCGGACTCCGTTCGGGATGGCTTTGCAACCTGTTTACACTCTCGTGGAACATGTTATTATTGCGTTAATTTATTGCTTTAACTTTCAGTACTATCAGTCTATCGTGATCATTAAATTCAGCTGTTATTCATTTCCCTAAAACTGTTAACCTTCCGGATGGTAGCGTTAGGATAGACAGACGAGCAAGTTTCTTGACGAGTTCACTTTCCAAGTTTCTCGAGTGTACGGCGAGTGTCCAGTTTTATTCCCTCGAATGCTCGCGAAACAATTGACATTTTTTCCTGGACAAGTGTGTCTGCATTCTTTAATAATCTCGAGGGTTACTTCATTTAAATTACAAAGAAAGCCGCTCAATTTTCTCCAAGAACAGTTGCGCAGTTTCTCACTTCGTAATTCCAATTTTTCCTTGACGGCCATACACACGAAAACATTTTCTTGTTGAAAAGCTACCATGACAAGCTTTTTAACAAGGCTCATTGTCAAGGAGCTCATTGTTGACGTGCACACGAGCAAACGTTGCAAAAAACCTTGAAATTTAGAAATCTCGCTCGTCTTTATGGGGCTTTACCTTGCATGATGACCACGTGGAATCAACAACAAAAATTGACAACCACAGCACGACCAACCGTGGTTTTACGTACGGATTGCCAAGGTCTTCTCGAAATGTTACTCGGAAATTGCGTACATTTTTTGGCATGATGGACACTTGCGGTTTTCACAATGTTCCATGCAAATGACGAATTCATAATCATCTCACAAGTGTTCTGCGATTGCTTCTCAAAATAGCACATGCATGCATTCGCAACCCTTCGCCATATCATAAAATGACACAAATGAGTCGCTATCTAATATTTCTGTCATTCAGTACAAACATTACTTAATAATCTGCTGCATTAAGCAGGCATTTTTTCGGACAATCGCTTAAGTTAGCTCGATGTAACACTTCGTGTTAAAGATTCAATCTGAAAAAGTGAAAAGGACTGTTGTGTGACTTGTAATTATGTAATAAAACATGTAATTAAACATTATAATTATGTAATTAGCTTATAAATGAACAAGGCTTATTGAGATTTTCTATGGGCTTTTATTGTTTTCAACTTTGGACTATATTATATACCTTGAGTGATATAGATTACAAGTTTTAGATTTAGATTTAAGGTTTTCTTTTCATGCATGTAATAAAGAAAGCTGTTTGCTTCTTTGGACAAATATATTAAATGATACAAATTACAAGAGTCTACTAATACTTCTGGCTATATATCCTTCTTTATTTGTGGATAAGTAGAATATAACGCGGGTGCCAGCTTGTGGCACCACGTCTGGCATTAATTGATCTCGATGGAAAAAGACACGATCTTCAAAATTATCTGCATAAATAAATCCATAACCACGATCATCAAAAAACCTCGAAATTTTCCCCGTTTGGTAACCTGGATTGAAGGAATCTAATCCTGCTCGCGAGGGGTTTCTTATAAAGTTGGATTGCTCACGCTCTGCAACATGGCCCCAGTTATTTCTGTTTGTCCCTTCGGCGTCTCTATAGTTGTTACAAAAACATGCCGTTGAAAAAAATGCTCAATTCCAAGTCGACAGAATTTTGACATTATTCTAAACTCTCACAACACCTTTTCCAGTTTGAAATCAGAAATATCGAAATGATATTTAGATAGCGCTAACTGTTAATCAGATTTGTCATGCGTATTTCAGATATTTTTAAGATATTTATAAGACATTCAGAAATGTCCGAAGGGAATTCCGACATTTATAAATGATAATCGGATCGGTCATGCAAATTTCAGATGTTTTGAATTAATCGTCCAAAGGGATTTCAACAATGTGCAAATGATAATCAGAGATTTAAACGTTATAAGATATCAGATCATTTACATACGGTGAGTATAGCAAAAACAAAATGGCAATGTTGCACATGCAGGGGTGATAAAAGAAGAAATTAAACACTTTTTTGAATTTCAATTCCCAGAGATTTAAAACAAATCAACAAAATATGAGATAAAAATATTTAAAGGTAGCTTACAGCGGCTTACAGCTTTCTGCTCACAACATTGGGGACTCCATGCATGTTTTAGAAATTACCCACATTTCGCAAAATTCGCTAGGTCGCGCCAATTTCTATCGTTATTGGCCAGGGACCGGTTGTACAAAAACTCTTTAACTACATTTCGCGGAGTTAAATCCTAGTTCACTCGAAGTTAATCCAGAGTTAACCAGGATAACAATTGGCCCCTGTCTTACAATTAAATTAATTCTTGCTCTATATCTGCATTGCAATTCGCGAATATTGACCACGCGGCATTATTTTTCAACGTTGTTTTGCTTTGTGACGCTTTATAATTTCTGCATTGGCAGCGCACATTTTAATAAACTTTGTAAAAGTCTAACATCTATCGAGAGATTTCTTATTGTCATTTTGGAATATCTGCATATTTAACAATTTTGTTTGAAATTCATCTGTATGAAACTGATTTGCACTGTTTGAAATTTAAATGCTTCTATCTGAACTTGATGGTAACTATCTGAACTTCATTCTAACGTTTTCTGGATTACAACTGCAATATCTGAAATTCACTTAACTGTTTTGATTTTCAGTTGGATACTGATTTCGACCTGGAAAAGGTGTAGCCAGTAGGGAGCATCATCTAATAAAAGGCTAGAAACCTAAAAATATGCTAACTATATAACCGCTGGAGACAAGGAATTTGGCGTCGTTCTCGTAGTGTCAAATCAACATGAATCTGATGATTCGTATAATCATTCCAGAAACGGTAAATAAACTGAGCATGTTGTACCTGTCCAATTGTCTTGCATAGCTCATAATTCGCAGATCAATCTCTGATTCCTGCAAAAAGTGACATTCATAAAATGACTACACTTTAATTTAAGGCGCTGTTACACTATGCAATTTTCTTTGCAACTTGCAATTAAATTATATATAATTTTGAGGGATGTTACTTTGTAAAGAGAGTTCGAAATGCTAGGTAAACGTTAACAGATGGCACGAAATGTTCGTATTTGTCAATAAGGGTATAGAATTGCATTCCAGGTTGCAATGAAAGTTGCATAGTGTAATAGTATTATTTCATTAATAATTTAAATGACAGACCCACCTCTGCAACATGAACATTAACAGCGCGTAGCTTGTTTTTATTGTCGTCGAAATGTACAAGGAACTTTAAGATCGTCAATCGGCTGATCATATTTATAGGTGAAGAAATTTATAGGTGATCTTCCACGTCGGGATGAGAAATAAAACCATACCCTTCCTCTTTCATTGCTGTAACCGTGCCTATCATCTGTTTATCAACATAATGACTCCAGGTATTTTCCTCGCTGTCATTGTCCTCTAAGTTGGTGAAGTAAAGTGGACGAGGGGCATTATATCCTGTGGCCTGGCCATCCTTTTCGTCATCGCTACCTTCTGTGCCTGAATCAGACAAATATGATGTCTTTTTGTAAGCATTTCTATCGGCGACCCGCTCAACTGACCAGGCACGTGGTCCATGCCAGTCGAAAGATAAATGAAACGATACGGTATCACCGATTGCTGGCTTTGACGAGCGAATACTCTGTGGTAAAAAATAAACATCGATATGCCCACGAAACTTGATAGTACCATGCCAGTCGTTTTTGATTTTTTCCACAACCCCGTCCCACCTGGAAACATTTTTTTTCCTAAGACAGCTCTCCAATCTTTCCTTAAGAGGTATTTCTTTTCCTTTAACCCAGCTATCTTTAAGGAGGTCATCACTAAGGAGCAAACTGTCGATAGAGTTAACATGCGAACCTTGCTTCGGACACAACCATTCTAACGTATTATGTATTTTTCGAGAATCTCCTGCACTTTTGTTTCGCTGCTGTTTCTTGACCAGCTCAGCAGCTCTTTGCATTTTTTGGTCATCGTTAGGATCCTTAAGAGCGATCAAAACTGCTACAACATAACTAAAAAGGGCAGCAAACATACAAATTAAAACCATATTTTCAGGAATAAAAATTTGCGAGAAGAGAAACAACCCTTATTCGAGTTAAACTGAAAAAATCCTTACGGAAATTATTCCTTACCATTTTCGCAATAAACATACGGTAGACCAGCGAAGAATGTTCGGATCTTCACTGATTTCTCTCAAAAAGTGACATTTTAGCACGACATTCAGTCGCTTGTACTTACTTGTAAAATTCTGCATGCGGTGATATTATATTCATCTTCTTTGTTTGTGCAATCCATCGCTTTACTCTTTTTTCGACATTGGGAAGTGATGGCACTATTCGTATTTTTCTAACATATCTAAACCAATATTTCATGGAGCCTTCGTCAAATGCACGTTCTTCGATTTCCTTGATGCGCAACTCAAAATCGTCTTGAGTCATATCTTTGTTGTTTTCGATTTCGAGCTGCAAAAATAAGCTGTTTGTTCTATTGCTAACTTCGTCGATCCACGCCTTTTGCCCAGAAAAATTCTTTCTCTCAGCTTCCAATTTCTCACATAAAGTCTTGAGCTCCGTTATTTTCGGAATGCATTCATTGAATTTTTTTCTTAGTATATCCTTATGCTCATATTCATTGCTACTTTCATTAAGGTATTCGTGTGCGCTGGTAATTAACACTAGTAAATATTTTTCTTGTTCACCTAGTTTACCAGAGCTTTTCACACGTTCAATCATTTCAATCAAATATTCAACGAATCCATAATCTTTATCGCTTCTCGCAGATTTAATGCACGCCTGCATAACAGTAATTTGAACAAGCGCATCGGATACGTAGCCGTAGCTCATCTGTGGTCTCCGTTCACGAACCTCCTGAAAACAGCTGCTACTTTCAATAGCAAGCTGCACAATTTTTTGCATATTTACAGTCTCTTCACTCTTCAAGTTATCAATGTAACGGCGTATAATATCCCCATGAATGTGATGAAGCAGGGCGTCATTTGGTACATCTTTTACGGCTTCTTCAATACGCGATTTCGCATTTTGAAAATCCGAGTACTCAATCATATAGTACTTTCCCAAGTGGGCGAGTAAATGAGCTCGGAAAGAAAGATGTTTCCGAAAGACTTTAACTAACTCTACTAGTGTATCACGAGCGATATCAGCATTACCTTTATAGCGCATACTTCGGATTAAGGACGAGAATTTTTCGCTTTCATATTCACTGATGATAAAAAGTTTCCTTGTTAAACGATCGATTTTGGATGCACCAATGTTGACGCTGAGAACTTTGCTTGCCATTTCTACAGCAATGTCTTTGATGTATAACCAATAATTGCCCTGTATGTTTTCTTCACCTTCATTTTCTTCTGCGAGCTGATTCAAAATCTCACTCGCAACCTCTAGGAACGAAATTCGCCGTGAATCTGTCTCTTGTGCTGGTGGGCTTAGCATTTCTTGGAGATAAACGTTTTGGAATTCTGACTTCATACTAACTTTGTCTTTATTCAGATAACGCGCTAACGCACTCGCTGGAAGTTTATGTCCTGTGAATAGATGGGTCAATGACAGGAAAGCTAAGAGTTGTTTCTGTATGTCCGTAGCCATTTGCAATCTGAATTTTACGTAATCTGATAAGTCAGAAAATTCTTTTCCAAATGCAGTTAAGCTAAAATACGCAAAACTTCGTAAAAGGCGACTGTTATCAAGCAAAGCACGATTTTTCAAATCTGTCACTTTGTCTCTAGCGTCATTGGGGCAAATTTTTAAAAGTTCGAATGACAATTTTTCTAATTCGACCGTTTCTAGTTCTCTTTTAAGCGTGATTTCCCGACAACAAGATGTGCCATACAATGAACTATCACCAATACGTCTTTGTCTCTTACGCTTCCCTGATCGTCCTTCTCTGGCGGGCTTTCTGTCTATCTGCACCGGTTCAACTAACAAAAAAATTATATTTACTGTTCGACGATTTTCGGCATCCTTTTTAAAATCCAAGAAGTCTTGCAGGTTTCCAACATCTTCGTCTACTAAAAGTAGAAGAGGGAGATTGGTTATTTGGTTGATCTTTTCGATAAAACTCAAAAGGTCGCGGTGAATTTCGATTAACTGGGCACATGGTATTTTCTCGTGGTGTTTATAGAGGAACTGCAAACACATCGTAGTAGTCCCAGCTCCTCGGTCCGCTTTGACTATTATCAATGAAATGCGAGATTTTTTGTCAATATTCAAATCTTGGAACACCCCATCAAGTTCTTTCAGCTTTTCTCTTTCAATTCCAATACTTCCACGCAGACCGAGCATGCTTATTTGCGAACCAGTATAGAATTTTTTTCTTTCTTCATCCATTTTTTTTTCATCTACGTTTCTACTTTTGTTAATGTACATCATTTTCAAACGACCATGAATATTCTGTCTAAGTCGTTGAGGAAGCACCGTTGGCACCGTAACCAATGATGTATTTTCGGTATATTGCTTCTTTGGTACTTGGTAGTCATCCTCAGGGCGAAAGGTTTCTGGCAAACTCACTGCGAGATGTTTTGCCAATACATGCAATGGGGCGGCAATATGAACATTACTCTCATTGGTAATAGTACAGTTTTCTTTCAGAAGTTTCATGTCCTTATCAATGTCCGAGTGAGCTTCGGATGTAGAACATACCAATGTCACGGATGTATTATCACAGATGCTCAGTATGTCAGCAAGGAGAAGATTTAAGGAGTAGGAGAGGCTCTTGCATCCTCTATCCCAAAATATTACAACATGTATTTTACTGGGCATCACGTTGCGGGTCAGCTCTTCGTCAAGAAGTGTATTAATCATTTTCCTGTGTGTTATATTCCATGTATTTTTACCTTCGCTTTCCTTTGACAACGAATCAGCAATACCTCTGTGACCGCGAGCAGCAAGCCAACAAACTCCATGGTCTGCATTTAGGTCAAGCTTATCTGACTGGGGCGTTACTAAACAGCGATCTCGCTCTTTATGATATCCGTCGTGTAGCTTTTCAAACAAATGAAAAAGATGACCATCTTCTTTGGGATCTTGATCAAAATCAATTGCAAGAGTCCAATTAGGTATTACTAAACCAAAGACGTCTTGTTCTAAAGGTGGTAAATTGAACGGTGATGAAATCATAATATACGAGTTACCCGCTGGGTCGAAGTTATTAACATCTTTTAAAAACTTATCGATATTAAAGTCTGGTTTCATTTCAAACCGACGTATGAGCTCATCGTGAGATAAACTTATCAAATTTCCATTGGAGTCGAATATTTGTGTATCCAGTGGTTTCGTTAAGTGAACAGGGTACGTTGATTTTGCAACATGGAGTTCAACCACACATAAATCCTTGAGTATCTCTTGAAAATCACTTTCCTCGATTGATTTAAGAGAGGACTTTTTTAAGTTCTTTTGAAAATCCTTCACATTATTTATTAAATTTTCAGAGGCAGAGAAATTTTCCCCCACGACACAAAAACTTTCGGAGTTAATCCGGATAACTCGGGTACGTATATTAGAGTTTTTCTCTGCTTTACTCTTAATAAAACGAGGCAACTTTTGGCCAATTTCATCCCCAGGACCTTGCAGGAGAACAACCTTTCCATCATTGTCGCCATCTTGATATTTTAACACAGAAGTAAAAGGAATAAAGACAGGGGTAAACCTAAAGAAGATTTGGCTGAAATCCACTGGAGGATAAAATCCCTGAAGGACTTCGATTGACCGTTTCATAAGTTCATTGCGTTGCTCATCTGGGAGAACTATGCCAACGACGAGTCCCTCTTTCGTATCCTCGTCCTCTTGTACACCAAAGTAAATTGTACCAGAATGAGAATTGAGAAAACCACAACAATATTTAGAGATGTATTCTTCCGCTATCTTCTTTACAGGATCTTGGCTGAAGACCATTTTAAATTCAAGCTCGTGACTCTCTGCCTTCTTTGTTTTAAACAATTTGTATGTATGCTTACTCGCCATGTTTGACCGGGCTTCCTCGTATATTTGCTCAAAATCCCGACTTGGTCTAATTACACGATATTTAAGGGATTCCAGAAGACTAAATAATTCCTTGTAATTGTTCATTCGCTTTGTTTCAGCACCAACACGAACAAATGCAGGAACATCTGTTGCTTTCGAAAAATATATTTTTTCTTGCCCGTGCGGAACATGAATCCAAATTATTCCCAACGGGATGTCAGGCGAATTATTAAGTTTTATGATTGAAATGAAACACTCTTTTCCAATTTTCCCAGCTGCCTCATCGAAATTTTTGCAGAAGCATACCTGGTCATCTGCACCAGGAAGAATTGCACCAATCTTTGCCGCCATCTTTTCTCTCCATTGCACAAGATCCCCTTCTACGAGCGATCTTGGAGACACTTCACCGTCAAATTCAACACCGACAAATATATCGCCATCAAAACTATTCTTAAATGCGACAACATTTTTCCTAATTTCGTCAAAACTAGATGTTACAGGAAGAAAAATCCTTCTGTTTGTTTTCTTTATCTTGCTGCCCACACTTAATAATTCTCCGTCTACTTGAGCTGAGAAGGTTTCGAGATACGCGAAGCCTTGCTGGGAAGACGTTTCAGAGGAAGGTGATGAGGGTTCTTCTTTTTCCTCGTACAAATGTGGATGATCTTCTGAGCCCATAACAGCTGAGGATCTAGAGCTGGCTGGATCTGTTTCCGTATTAAATATTTGAATACGACCACCCTCGGCTACACTGGCTGCTGGTCTGATTTAATAAGAAATAAGAAATTTAATGTGGTATCACAATATTACTCCTGAAGGCCAAAATGAAAAGATTTAAAAACCCTCTTCGCAAACTTGAAATTCCTAGTTCTCGTATAGCTAAATAGTTCATTACACTTTACAGTTGATATCAGATGGCCACTATAAAATACCAGGGCAAAGCAATTTCAATGCAGCAAAGAAATATTACTTTCATTTATACAACTCAGGTTTATCTATGTCAGAAATCGACAGAAGATAGTCAATACAATTTTATTGAAAACAATCGATTGGAGCCGAAAACTGGGGGGAATTATGTACGGACTGCAAGAACTGAAAACAATAATATTTCAATTGCTTTGCCCTGATATTTTACAGTGGTCATTTTAAAGCGATTCAAATTGCCCCTTCAAAAGTTCGATTTGAGCTTCGGAACTTCGTTGCGAATTACAAAACGGAAGCGACAACTTCTCCGCCCACTTGACAGCTTCCAGACATAGTGGGCAACTGGAGCGTCAAAAGTTTTCTGAAATCAACTGTAATATAAGCCTCATCGCATTTGGACTGTAAGCAACTCTTTACTCTAATTCTACCTGTCATCGACTTTCGCTTCACTATGAGATTCTTTTTGTACAGTCTGCTTCGCGCCACTCGGCTTCTCTTCCAGTACAGACTTCTTTCCTTCTCCTCAGGAAAGACTATATCTTGAAAAATGGAAAAAATTATACAGTTTCGTTGGAACAACACAAAATCCGAAAAACAAAGGGAAAAATAATGATTTGTCGAAGGAAGTTAGCATCGATAACTATGGAGGCCCATATTCATATCTTCATGTTAACAAACGGTAAAGACAATCAATTTCAAAAGAAATTAAATACATATAGTCATAGAGAATATTATATGCTAGCTGGCGCGGAAATATGGAATTCATTTCGAGTGTTGAAGAGAAATGATATTTTAACACAAAAAAATATCGTATTTACGTGTGTTTAAATAAATTTTTCTCGGTGGCGTAAAACTCTATGTAGCACTCATGTTCATATAATAAAAATATGCATAGCAGATGAAAAAACGAATATATAAATATTCACCCGCGCCCAAATAATCGTGCTTCTTCTTACGACTCATATAAGCTAAGTGTCTATACTTATACAGTTGAGTAGGGTTTGTTTAGTATCATTGCAATAATATATCTCCTTTAAAAAGATTTGAAATTGTTTTGAAACAGAAAATGCATTTATTAGTATAGTAAAAAAAGTTAATATCGAAGAGTTGGCCCTCGCTTGGGTACCTAGCCAGGTGTTTGGCACGGGGGTATTTTCCCCGGGCCTTAGTATTTATATGGCTTGCCTTGTTGTTTATCTGCTTATTATCGCTTCGTTCCAACCGTCTGGGGATGGTGTCCCTTTATTGTTTTTTTAGTTTAGCTTCTCTGGTTTGCAAAAGACTCCTGCAGTATGTATCTGATTATTTACTATGTGTGTGTTAGTAGCTATTATTTACTTCGTGTTTGTTCTTGTCTTCCTTCCACGGCTTTCACTTCTGTGATTCTGTGTGACAGTGTGATCACGGGATGGAGAGGGTACCGTTTAGGTTCCACATCTGATGGACGTACGCATGATTGAAAATGACAGTAAAGACTATTTAATGGTGCTTAGCACCTTCGCATCGCCAACCTCGTTCGCTTCGCCGAGCTCGTTCGCTTCGCCGTGCTGCCGTCTCCATCCCTACCGATCCGCAGCGGGCATAACTAGTTAGGTTATTATAGTTATAGTATTCGCTAAGCCTCGCCTAGCCTCGTTGGGCCTTATCTGAGTATATTAATATACTTGAATAACAATTAGCGCCTAATTAACAATAAATTAATAGACCCAATTAACAATCAATTATATTACTATTGAATTGTTTTGACTAAATTGAAAGTTTAAATGATGATATTATGGCAATATTTAGCGACAACTGAAGGTGCATATTCATACACATTGAATATGCCCGGCGGATTTCTTTTGAAATCGCAATAGAACTACAAAACAAGTCAGACGGGCAGAATGACTTCATGCAAGAATACATTCCACCACCAGCAGCCCCCCCCCCCCCCCATCATTGTATCTACAATCAGTGACATTAAAATTTGGGACACTTGTATAGCAAGAGTACATTTTTACGTGACCTTAGAAAATTAACTTGTAACCCCCCTCCCCCGAAAAAGGGGGGGAGAGGGGAAATGTTGCCTTTCCAGGCTAAGCGGTCCAATATTTATGTCACTGATTGTAGTAACAATTAAGACTTGCGCATGGAAACGGAATGGACCAAGGAGGGGAATTGGAAAAGCCTTTGTTTTTCAAAATAACTCGGGCTTTGAAATTCCGGTAAAGTCATCTGGCAAAGTCATCTGGTAAAGTCATTGTGTTTGAACTTTTATATTAATACCTGGCTGCTTTGGTGAATTACTACCCTCAGTCTTTAATTGTTTCCACAGCTCATACAACATATCTCCCTGCGTGGGTGATCGCCTTAACCAATCTTCTTTCTTTAGCAAATCTAATCCTTTTCCATTTGATCTTTTAAGATCAACGACTTCTTCTTTCTCTATTTCATATTCGTCACAAATACTGTCAATCCATTTGACTACTTCAGCCTTGGTCCACCTTTCAGGTTTCCAGTTTCCTATATACAGGCAGGGCAATCATATCATATATAAGACTGCGAGAGAGATAAAAGCCTCTCATCTTTACCGAAAAAAAAGGTTAACAAGACGCCTGCTCTGGGGTTAACTTCGGCGTGCCGCACGTTCCAAACCAACCAAACCAAGTGCAAGCGAAATCAAATAGCGCATCGGAAAATTCGCCAAAGATTTCGAGTAGTGCACCACAATACTTGCGAGACAAAATTTTGACGTAGATAAATACGGTCACATACGCTCTCCAATGAGCGTCGCATCAAGTCAAGTCCTGGGTACAAATGAGCATTTAAGTTTTCAGATAATATCTCGCCCTAAAACACACTTGCGACGACGAAAAATAATAAAAAAAACAAACAAAACAAAATCTAGGCGAATTTTCAACAGCGACGGAGTAATATGGACATAATAATAATATTTTACATTATGTATAGATTTTGCGAGAAATCTTAAAAACAAAATCATAAGAACCTGAATTTTCCGATGAATTCCCAACCATATTTTCTCGACTTGAATCTTCATTGTCCATTCCTAATGTGAAATTGCATTTACATGCACAAAATACAAGCATTTAAGTGCATTTATAACCATACAAACAATTTCCAATACAAACTTTAACGGTATATTTCGTCTTTAAATACTTTCGTCTTTAAATAGTACAATTTGTAAAGATGTAAACAGTGATTCATATTTCACAAAATATACCTCCAAGAACTTGGCCGTTAAAGACTATAGTAGAACCATGAGTAATTCCTTGGTCCAATAATGAGTAGGTAAAATCAATCTGATAATACGAAAAACGTACGAAATAGAAATATTGCAATTTGCATTTATGGCCCAACATATTAGTAGAGAAAAATCTACAACATGCATACTCGCAAAATTAATTATATCTGAAAACCCGTATAGCTACCTTGGTTGAACCATGACGAAAGTCCCAACCACGGATTTCGTCACCAAATTCTGCGCATAGAGCTCGTATCAAAGCAGTTCCATTTGCAGAAAGGTCAACATTTATTGCTCGAGCATTTGATTTCATATCACGAGCAAATATTTGACTTTGCCCACTTTCAAATACGCTAAAAATGAAAAAAGTTATATAAATTAATATGATGATTGCACCATCTTATAAGACTATTGGTACATTTAAAGGTCTATCATGCATTATTGAAACTAAATTGCAACAAGTACATTAACTGGTGTCAATTATTTACGGACTTTATGTTACCTCTTATTGATACAAACTACTTCTTCTAAGGTCAATGCAGTTCCAAAGTTCTCAATTGCCAGCTCTTGTCGTTGGACATCATCCATTCCTTCATGCACAAAAAAATAACGTCTGTAGGTCATCTATACAAAATATGCTCCATCGCGAGGTTTTTCACCTTTACGCTTTGCGGAAAAAAAATATTTAGGTAAAAGAAGCAGGTTTCATTAGGCATTCTTATCGATAATTTGGGTTGGGATAAACCTTGAGTGAGCGAAAATAATGAATTTGCACATGTTTAGTGCCAAGAACGAACCTAACACATAATATAGTGAATGATGACCTCACTCCGACCCCGAATGAAATCAATTAAGTTACATGAAACCCAAGAATGAGGGACGACGTTTTGACTGTACCTATATTCCTTTGTTCCTTGAATTTTGTATTCAGCCGTATTGTTGTGTCATAGAATATGCCTTGATCAAATAAGGATTTTTTCCTGTCCAACTAGCAATAAATATAAAATGTACGATAATGCGGTAGAAAGAGATAAATCGATAATGACATGAAAACAATTGCTCTATTATATTAGTACACTATTACCATGAGGGCCCTGATTTGTGTAAACCCTGAGAAAAGAACTGAAAAATCTAATCTATGAATTGAGTACAAAAACCCGTAAAGAATCATTTCATTGGAAGTACCTTTTTTTTCTAAAACGAACACGGTAACCGTAATACATTCTAAACCAAACTGAGCCTCAAGAATCCTTAGCAAGTTTTCTCCATTCGAAAACAAATCAATCTTGACCGTTCGAATAACAGAATTTTTATCTTTGACGTTAATTTGGCTCTCGTATTTTCCCGGCAAACTATAAAATAAATACAAATATATGTCTTCCAAATTAATAGAAATTATTGCAAAAAACAGAAGAACTAAAGATTGACCCACTTTAGTGTTTTCAGAAATTTACCGCCGAAATTTGTACTAGACTTAACTATAAAGCTAATGATTTATTAACGAAGCCTTTTGGTGTTTATCAATTATATCCCTATAGTGAAATTAAAAGCACCCGAGGACAGAAAGGCGATATCTTTACGACAGAAATGCTCACAGGTGAAAGTCAACACGAAAATAAAGACGCCGTTACATTTTGCACTTAGTTATGCATCTTGTCTCGCAATGGCGTTGCAACGGAGGGGCGCAGCCTGTACCAAGGACATTGAAATCACAATTATATACACGTATGAACAAATACAGTAGTTAGTATGGGCTACCTGTAAAGGCTACATTTAGAAATTTCAAAAAAGATGGACTAAAACTACAGATTAGAGATCCATTCATCCCGACGCTTTCCGACGCAACTAGGTCATTTCGATGTAATATGACGATTCACCTGGGGGGCCTTTAGCCGATTGAACATCTAGATTTATTTTAATAAAGCACGTATAAAGCAAAATATATCATTGAACTTTTCCTGCCCAATAGCTACTATGATAAATATCGACAATAATAAATTGTAATTATTATAGCTACCTGTTGGCAAATGGATCAACATTACCAGTTCCTTTGCTAATTTCTGAAGAATTTTCCAATGATATTTTCTAATAAAAAACAAACCAAAAAATGAATAATGTAACGATAGATGAAACATGCATATAAGCTTTCAGACTTTCGGTTTAAAGAGAAACTGGACCGGCATAACCATGCATTAGGACTCGGGGATGGTTACAATACTGTAGCAAGCAGTGAACTAAAATCATTTGAAAAAAATCCGACGTCACGCGAAATTTGATTGGCTCCTCAAAACTATCGAGCCAAACAAACTTCGTATGACATGAGACTTTCCGCGTTTGACGTCATTAAGAAAAGGTCTATTGAAGCATTCTTCTCGTGCTTTGAAGACGGCGCATGATTGTTGATCATTGAAGACGAGATCCATTCCGTTGAAGTTCAGGTACTTAGAAACAAGGATTATAACGAAAAATATATGTATCTATAACAGAGTTACAGAGTAAATTGTATTAGAATTTACCGACACTTTAATACCTTCTTGTGCCGGGTAATTTCTTCCAGCTCAAGCCATCTTTTATATCTCCCAGTCTTACGCAGAGGCTTCAATCTACTATCATACTTGATTTTACCGGAAAATCCAACAAGAAATGGCTGTTGCTTCAAAGGTATATAAAACCTTTTCCTTTTTCGATGCTTCATGATTCTGTCAAATAATAAGAAATCTAGAGTTGATTTTTTTTCATTTGCTCAGTCAAATGATTAGAAATCTGGAGTTGAATTTTTTTGTTTGCTTAACGCAAATGATGAATGAGAATATTCTACCAAATCCCATAGGTGTTAAATTTTGTTTGCTTGTTTTTGAACCAATTTGTAAAAACTGCAATGTGATGTGCTTTTCATGGTCACCAGTGACAAAATCTACATCTGTCATTCTTGCTTAATTTATGACAATTTTTCCCTGCAGACTAGCTAGGGAAAGTGCACTATGCAAAATGCACTGCAGTGCACCGAAACACACAAATTGTGTATTAAAATCTGCAAACAAGTTGTTACAAGTGGGTTCACAAGCTGTCAACATAAGTTCTCACTAAATAAGATTGTAGCAATATTGTTAGATCATGTTTGTACCAGACTTAGCAACTAACTTAGTTGTTTTCAGACTTGTCACAAGAGGTTTTAGAGAACTTACTCATACAGTAAAAAATGCTGGCTTTAAAGATTAATTCATTGGTAGCTAATTACTATATAAGCACTTGTTGTTAGTATACATCTTAAAAATACCAGCAACAATATGCCCCAACAATATAAATGCCCCTGTATCTATAATCCCAAGTGGTGACCTACAAACAGCAGAAAGGCTATTATAGAGGCAACTGTTGTTTTTAGCTAGAAGTCCAAGAATTAATTTAATTGGAAATACACAGAAGCAAAAACCCGGCCTTCGATCACTACTTCTAACCAAGCAAACAATTTAGTGAGAATTAGCCAGACCAACGCTTATATAACATATATTGCATTATGACATGACTCAAATAAGTTGATATCTAACATTTCTATCATTTGATTTGGTACTCAAATAGTCATAAATGTGGAGTAACATCACCCATTTTTCTGCTGCATTATTCGGTTATTGCAGTCACCCTATAAGTTTTGTTTTGTAGTGACATTTGTTCAAAATTTAATTCATAGACCCCTCATAGCAGGTTATGTCTTTGCAAAATGACTTGCAAGCTCATAATTATGCAAATAATTAAATGACATACTATAAGCTCAGCTAAGGTAGTGCTGAGAACATCCTCATAGAACTTCCTCCAAATTCCATGCCATGGACATTCATGAATTTGACCATTTTGTCAGTCAAATGTGCATTAACAAAACATGAACAAGTAAGGACTGTCAATTAATTAACAATTTAATGTATTAATTGGCTAATTAAAACAAACACATATATTTCAATGAGAATATATCAGCAATTTAACTGTAATTTTGCAAACTTAACCAGTGTGAATAAAAATTTCTTGAAGAAAATGGAAAAAAATTATGTGTTATGTACATGCTTTCCCTCTCTGGATTAGGGAAAACTGGATTGAGATTTGAGATCATTCAATCCAATTGTACCTCACAGCTAGTACTATAATAATAAATGAGTATAGACTTCCTCTTCAACATCACGTCATTTTGCCTGATTTATTCAAATATTTTCCAGAAAAGTTGGATTAAACTGACTTAATTGACAAACATAGGATTATTTTGCATCCTTTCCTGCTTATTTTTCCCTCTGATAACTCCTAGCTAGGACTAGGAAATCAATCCTCATAGTCTGCCTTTTGTCATAGTTATTAGAATATTCATAATTTGTTAGGCGGTAAAGCAAACCCAAATGTTTATTTACAACTGTTTTGCAGGCTAATGGTTTAGAAGGACAGAACGAACACACCGCCAACTTATTATTAACTAAGTCGATAAACTCATCAGCTTTTAGTATTGTCAGGTTTATCATAGGCAGCCCAATTATGTATGCATGTTTATATACTATATATATTTATATATAAGGTTGGCAACTTTACAAGCTCTGACGAAGTATACGATGTAAACAATTGAAAAATATACGCACAAACGCTGATGAAAACTAAAAAAAAATGTTAAAAAACAAAACAATGATAGTTTTCCTCAATTCTCATCAAAAATATTTGTTCAAATAGAGTGGATAAGTGCGAAAATATAGGCAATTTTTAAAGCATTTGCTGCCAAAATTTCTTGTCTCGATGCGGGATGCCAAGGGTGCCAGTATTCGTCATTTTTTTTAAATACAACACGCAATATGATTGGGCAGAATGTTTTTCTATACTTTTCTGCCCAATCATATTGCGTGTTGTATTTAAAAAAAATGACGAATACTGGCACCTTTGGCATCCCGCATCGAGACAAGAAATTTTGGCAGCAAATGCTTTAAAAATAGGTACGCAATGCGTACATGTGGGTAGCCTATAAAACGTTTGCAAAACATTGGCTGCGATAAAGCTATAGTTTGGCAAAAAATTTCAAGTTTGATTCAAACTACAGACTGCTATAGTGGCGAGTAAATATAAACTAATGCTTATAATTTAACTTTCTAATGCCATGCGCAATGGCAAAAATGATAGCTAGTTGAATTCAGTTATACGAAATCTATTTTATTGCACAATATATGTTATATTTTTTATTGTATTAATTTAAATACATTTTTAGCGACAGAATAATAACATATATAAAAGCAAATTTACAAAAGATAGGAAATGCATAGTTTTTAAAACAGAATAGGTGGAGAAAACAAAAAAGAGAGTAAGGTTCAAGAATGGTGGCACAAATCGTCTGATAACATAAAGCTTAGTTTGGAAAGAGAGAAAGGTTTTAGACGTTTTCAAATTATTTCTTTTTGATGTCCCTTGATTATCAGCTAGCATATCGGTTGTTGTTCCAGTACGATTATAAGGCCTGTTTCCCAAAGTTTTGGTATAAATACGTTTATCACCATTATAGCTGGAGATGACAGTATTATTTCATAGATTCAGCAGGAAGGTACAGGTGGTTTGCAATGTTGATTAACAACTTGAAAATAATGTTTCACTTTTTCATAATGATCCTCAACAAAAATGGTGCAATTCTGAATAAGATTTATTTTGGATGATGACTATTGTATATACAAAATCGAGAGTATTTGTTACACACAGTGATTGAATCATTAATAATGTTTGCCAAAATGTTTGATGATATTGAAACGTGAATTATGAACATTCAACTAGGAAACTAGTTTAAATTATTGAGCCACTTTTTATGACAATACAAAACGTCTTATTTACGTTTACAAAAATTATTACCTTTTATTTACAAAGCGTATTACATTTTTTACCTAGTTTGAGTTTGAAGATCATCATTATGTTCCATATATAAAAGGCCAGTCCAGTGTTCGTATAACAGTTCCATATATAAAAGGCCAGTCCAGTGTTCGTATAACAATGCGGTTAGTCGAGCACATTTGCTTGATGGTAGTTGTTTTGAGTATCGACAAATCACAAGTGTCCCAACATGTTTAAGTATGCAATGTACCGTACAACAAATTTCCAAGTGAATATGTACGCTCTAATAATCCGATTGTGATCGAAATTCCTCGACCACAGTAGCAAAACGAGCGATTAAAATAGCAAATGTCACAAAAATACACAAACTTTAAAGTACTGACCTTCAAACACCTTCGCTTTAAAATTTGACAAACGTATTATCAACGTAGTTCGGTAAACTTCGGTTCGCTCCTCCGAAAACAACGAAATTTACCGGAAGTAGCAGAACGAACGCGTTCGTTATCTTTCGTATATCCGTCGATTGCCGAAGATGTGGCACCACACACACAGCCAGATCCGGACAACACCGCGGAAAAACGTCTGCGCACGCGTCAACTCTGCCTGTAAGTGAGATTAAAAATAATTAAAAAGCGGTTCCGAACGTTTCCGAAGGCTAAAAATGGCGGTAAAAAGGATTGATTTCATTTGTGTCTTCAAATCCATATTTCGAGGGCATAAATAAACACTGCATTATAGAAACTGAGAGAAAAAACGTCCAGAGAGCCCTAGAAGTGGCATCCTACAAAAACACCTGTAAAAGGTGACTGTTGACAAATTTTTCGTCTCAAACATTTTGTTTATCAAATAAGCAACGACAGTTTCCGAACTTTTAATTGAGACACGTTTTATTAAAAAAAAATATGTCGCCAGATACGAGACGTTTGCGTGTTCTCAGTGATTGAAAATTAAGATGTATTTTACAATTTAAATAGATTAGAAAGCTTAACTTTCCGCGGGTTTTCTTAACTTTTAGGTTTAAACTTTTGTTTTCGAAAAATATTCTAAAGCCACCCCGTAAAAAAAGGAAAATTTACCGTGAATTCCGGTTCGTTCGATACTCTAAATGCTAGAAGGCTTTTAGTTTATGTTCTGTCTGGCCGTCTTGTATATTTTTGCCTTTTCTTAACTTATATTTTATCAAACAATGGGCATGTTTTGTTCCAAAAGTTGATATTTAGATTTACCATAATATTTTGATATTTCGGCGCGTGCGCAGACATTTTTCCGCGGTGTTGATCCGGACACTTTTTCGACTACATAGTGGTTAGCCGCGCATGCGCAGCGGCTACCCACAAAAATTGCCTATATTTTCGCACTTATCCACTCTATTTGAACAAAATTTTTTGATGAGAATTGAGGAAAACTATCATTGTTTTGTTTTTTAACATTTTTTTTTAGTTTTCATCAGCGTTTGTGCGTATATTTTTCAATTGTTTACATCGTATACTTCGTCAGAGCTCGTAAAGTTGCCAACCTTATATATAAATATATATAGTATATAAACATGCATACATAATTGGGCTGCCTATGGGTTTATGGGACAAATGGTTCTGTGTACTATATATTTCTTCAACTAACCAATAGCAAAAATGAATGGTTAACTTGGCTCTTCAATCATGACCTGAACATTTTAATTCAAACACTATCATTGGTTACGTAGTTATAACTGCATTTCTACAAATGATAAACTCTGTCCTTAACAAATATTGTCTCACGGAAATTGCCAACTCGTAATCTAACGGAATACGAATTAGTTAAGAATGTATTAAGGCTACAGTACCTGCTGCTTCAATACAATGAAAATCGCTTAAAATCGAAACACAATTTTAAAAACATCCTACCTTTCACTTTCGCTTTGTATCATACGTATTCATACCTCTGCGATGTGGGCATTTATTTTGAACGTACTTTAGGTGTGAAAAACCAAGATTCACTCTATAAGGACAGAGGACGACGAATTTATTTCAAAATGTGGGTTTGCAAATGGGTTTGCAGCAACAAGAACCACCTTGTTTGCCTACTGTTTTTAAAACAAACAAGACGCCGTTCTGGCGTTAACTCCGGCGCACGTGCCAGTCTTCAATATAGAGCTTCTGAACATAAACAATACAGAGTACGAAAGAGTTTCGTGCAGAGTACGAAAGTAAAATCCATGCTCTTCTTGAAACTCCAACATATAAAGAGCTAAAACGTGATCCTACAGCCAATATTGAACGTAAAGTATGTTCTAAACTATCTGAACTTAGGAAATCAGGTATTTTGTCTCAAAACCTTCATGATTATTTGAGACCTTCATGTAGTGTGTGCCCAAAATTTTATGGTTTACCCAAAATACATAAATCAGGTGTACCTCTTAGGCCTATAGTTGCATCCCAAGGTTCACCGACTTATAATTTAGCTAAATATCTTGCTAGAATTTTAAAACCAGTTGTTGGTCAAACTGAACATCATGTAGTTAATTCTAAAGAATTTGTTACGAATATGCAAGATGTTAGATTAGGTAAAAATGAAATTCTTGTCAGTTTCGACGTAGTTAGTTTATTTACTAATGTACCAGTAGATGAGGCGTGTAACATTGCGAAAGACAGGCTGCTTTCAGATGATACCCTCTCTAAAAGGACTAGCCTTTCTCCTGAGAGATATATGAACTACTGAAATTGTGCCTGAATACAACTAGTTTTCAGTGGCGGGAGAAATACTACGAGCAAACTCATGGTGCTCCTATGGGTAGTCCCTTATCACCAGTTATGGCTAATTTATTCATGGAAGAATTTGAAAAGAAAGCTATAGCTACAGCATGTTTAAAACCTGGTTTCTGGTTTAGATATGTAGATGACACATTAAGTAGTTGGTCGCATGGTTTAGAAAATTTGAATAAATTTTTAGATCACATTAATAGTATACACCCTTCAATTAAATTCACATTAGAAATACAGAAAGATAACTCTATATCTTTCTTAGATATCTTATTTGATGTAAAAGAGAACGGGACTTTGGGCCATAAAGTTTATAGAAAACCAACACACACTGACAGATATCTGAATTATAGTTCATTTCACCATCCTAGCATTAAAAGATCAGTATGCAAAACATTAATCAACCGTGCCAAAACAATTTGTGATTCAAATAGCATTGACTCAGAGTTAAAGCATTTGAAGGATGTTCTGCACATGAATGGTTATCCTAAGAAATTCATAGAACATGCTATGAATGAACAGCAAAGACAGAGGCAAGACACGGAATATCTATCCTCTGTCTGTTTACCATATATTGGCCCAGCTTCATATAAAATCGTTAGGATTTTAAAGGAAGTTGGAATACAAGTTTACCATTCTAGCAATAACAAATTGTTTCGCGCTCTTTACACACACAAGGATGGCGTCGATGAACAACAGAAACCCGGTGTGTACCGCATTCCATGTGAATGTGTTTGGTTTACATTGGAGAGACCGGTAGAAATCTCTCAATACGTCTTAAAGAACATAAGACGAACTGCGAGAAAGGTAAACTGGATAAGTCTGCAGTAGCTCACCATGCATGGACTTATGATCATCGCATTAAATGGAACGATGCTACCATTTTAGCAAACGATAAGTTTACTGTCTCTCGTAAAATGAGAGAATCTATTGAAATTTATAAACATCAAACTATCGTCCAAGAGGGAAAGCCACTTAATAGTACGTGGCGTGCTCTTTTCGGTGTCTCTTAGTCAAATACTTGTCTAGGGCGCGCGCATTAATTAGAACTTAATTAAATGAAACCGTTTAATTAATAGCGCGAGCAAACTAATCACGACTAACATGATATTTAAGTGACGCGCAAACGTGTATTCAAGTAATTGCACTGATGAAGGTCCGGGTTAACGGACCGAAAGCTTTGCAGTATTTAATACTTACGTGGTGTACCTACAAGTTATTATAATTACTAAAGTCGCCATGCAATCATACAAGAAAATTATAAACAATACAGTTCGCGTATTGTTTCGCATACATATTCGCATTTAGATGCCTTGCGAACCTAAATGTTCGATCGCGAAATTCAGAAGCATATCGCAGTATAGAAGTTCAATTGTTCAAAAATGTAAATAAACCGCATGATACATTCGCTTCGTCTTACAGTTTGCCTTTGGAATTTGCGCTTATATAGTTATATTAAATCTCCGATCCTGTGCAAACAACGCGACGTGTCAACGCGCCCATACACGACCACATCATCTTGTTAAACGGCGAAATAGCAGCGATATTATTAAAATAGGACCGGAATCTACATGTATTAAATATATTCTTACCCCAATTCTATCTAAACTTAATCGAACAGCATGAAAAGTAATTACTGAATCTTGCAACGTTGCAACTCCGCGCTCCCAATTGTCCAAACGTAAAAAGAGAAAATGTCACAGTGTTTTGCGGTCAGTGACTTATATTTGATCCCACACTAATTTATATTTTGCACATGCGCAAAGCCATCTTCTGATAGAGTGCAAGCTGGGTTAAGGTGTTGCAGTAAGAAATAAGGGTGGGGTGGCAAAGATTGACACGGTTGAGGAACCAGTATTGCTCCTATCAGTCTTCAAAGGTCCTCGGAGAACTACATCTCCCCATCAGGTGAGTACCCACCGGGGAAATTTAATTTCTCCTTCGTACCTTCTCCGACTGATACTTACAATATACTGGTGCAGATTTCAAAGCCTTACTGTAAGGCCTCGGATACTAAACCGACAATCAATGCAAAACAGAAATGTACTTTTAATTTTCAACAACTATGTCCGTTGAAGCTGTTGCTCACTACCTCGTAACTCCGCTGTACGTCGGATATACTGTTCCAGGCATTTTACGACGCAAATTCGTGGATCATCTAAATAAGCGTGAAAGGATAACTCCCTTCCTGAATGGTTTGACCGAGTGTTTTTTATATGCTGGGCCAAAATAAATGTCCAACAGTCACGTTTTTGGAAAACATTTTCCAGATTTAATGCAATCAGTGTGCTGTTGATGTAAAGGCTAGTAGCATGGATAATCAGTTTCATGGAGAAATTGGTAAGTGATAGCTGCTCAACCGATCCCAGGTTTTGTAGAAAAGCGATTACTTTCCCCACTGGCCATGTGGTTGATATTTTTGGATTTGGCGGCTGAAGCTCAAAAATTTCTTTCATGAGCCTTGACACTACCGGTAGACTCCCCACAGGTTTCCCATCCACTAGGTCATGAAATTGTGATATACACGACTTGTAGATCCCGATTGTTCGGTACGCCAACTTTCGTTCTTTGAACTGGACTGTGAGAAACTCCAGAATGACATTTACAAATCCTGAAAAGGGACATTTCGACCTTCCGGCGTTCATTTGTCGCTACTCGGCATGGGCAGACACGTTCTGAATTCCTGGCAAGTGCTGTTCCACTAAGATTATGTTCTTCGCCTGGCACAATACCCAAATGCCCAACGCTAATCTGATTAGATTGTTCGATCTGGTACCTTCCCGTTTTGTTTACGTAAGCCACTGCTGTCGTGTTGTCCATCTGTAACAAGATAAGATTCGCTTTCCCGAGAGGCATATAAGTCCGTATTCAGGTACGATTGGATGGCCAGGTAGGCTCTCTTCAGTTCTAGAATATTGATGTGCAACCGCTGTTCGTCGTTGCTCCAGTATCTCCCTTGCCTTAATTCCTCGCTGGAAAGAGGGGCAAATCAACTACATTGCAGAAAACTGTTATTAACGATCACATGTCTCGGATTCTCTCCGCATGATAGCAGAACAACTAAATAATATTTATCAACATGGTCCTACTTTGGCATAACGGACATAATTTCGTCCAATCAGTATTATTAGTACTGCATGACATTGAATAATCTAAACAAGCTGAAGAGATCAAAAGCAACTAGTTTAGATAAAAGCCCAGCACGGTCGCTAAAGATTGCCTCGACAATCATAGCTCCATCTTTGACCAATATTTTCAATCTGTCAATACAGAACGGGAATCTTTGTAGCTGATTGGAAGATTGAACGAGTAACACTCATTTACAAATCAGACGATAGACGTACATGTGAAAAATCGACCAATTTCTATTCTATCTGTAGTAAGTAAGATCTTTGAGAAAACAGTATTTGAACAACTATATATTATTAAGATAAAATCTTTAGTCTCGTATCAATCAGGTTTTCGACCAAAACATTCTACGTTGTCTCTATTGATTCAAATATGTGATCATTGGTTGGAAAACCTTGATAACGGTGAGCTGGGATTGTATTCATAGATATTAAGAAAGCTTGACCCAATAAATCACCCAATCTATAATTTTCTATTGACCAAAATGAAGAGCAATTTGGAATGGTTCGATCTTATTTATTTAGACGAAAACAAGTAGCCTAACAAATGTCATATCCCACCTAAGGAAATAGTATGTGCGTTCCCCAGGGATTGATCTATGGGACCTTTACAATTTTGTTATATATTAATGATTTGCCTGACTGTCTTGAGGCTACTACACCCAGGTTATATGCTGACGATACCGAAATATATGCATCGTCGAGAAACTTTAATGAACTAGTAAGTAAACTTAATCAGGAACTTAAGAACATATGCAAATGGCTCTCCAATAATAAATTACAACACCAAATTGACAAGTGATGCACAACGGTGCATGATGCATAGATGGTTAATAATCTATTACTCGCTTCTCCTCCTTCAGGTGTTTGGGGGTTCAACTTGACGAGAAGCTAAATTGGAAAAACATATTGAGCACATTTGTGCCAAGATTGGATCCGAAATCGGAGTAATGAGGAGAGCTAAAACATTCGTAATGAAAGAAACTTTATTGATTAATTATAATTCAATAATACTACCGTATTTTGATTATTGTTCGCCACTGTGGGATA